GTGTTGCAGTATAAGTATCTTGGAATTATAATTGACAATTCACTTTCTTTTAAACCACACATTGTGGAGCTCTTGAAAAAATTAAGAATACAATTAGCTTTTTTCTTTAGAAACAAGTCTTGTTTTTCCTATGAGGCCAAATAGAGACTAGTGTCTGCAACCTTTCTGTCTGTGCTGGATTATGGAGATGTGGTTTATATGAATGCATCTTCTCAGTGCCTTCACTCGCTGGACACCGTCTACCACGGTGCACTGAGATTCATCACAAACCTCAGATCCTTGACGCACCACTGCAATCTATACACTCGTGTTGGATGGTCTTCCCTGACCACGCGTAGACTGAAACATTGGCACATCCTTATATATAAGGCTATTCTTGGTGCTCTTCCCCCTTATCTAAGGATGTACATAAATAGAAAATGCACAGGATCCTATCGGCTTCGCTCCGAGAACTTTTTCTATTTCACTGTACCAAAGGTCCGTACTGAACTGGGGAAAAGGGCGTTCAGTTACGCTGCCCCTCAAGCTTGGAACCTGCTTCAAACTGAGCTGAAACTCAGAGAGCTGGTCTCATTAGAAACACTCAAAGCAACTTTAACTGACCTTGAAGGAGGCCGCTGTGTCTGTAAATGCTTTGGCTAAACTTGGTGTATGACTGTGTTGTGATTGTGTGTTTTGTTTTTTAATTGTCTGTAACTGTAAAACTGTCTGAAACTGTGCTGTTACCATTCTTGGGCCAGGACTCTCTTGAAAAAGATATTTTTAATCTCAATGAGACCTATCCTGGTTAAATAAAGGTAAAATTAAAAAAATCACCCTCAAGCATGTTCAACACAAAACAGAGCAGTGGTCGTTCTTATAATCTTTTGAATGTGCAAGTTACCTATTCCTGTATGTCTTTTTTTCTATATGGAACTTCAAGCTTCTGTCAAACCCGCACAATTAATACAAAATGGAAAGATTTAGAAAACTGCATTACCCTCATGAAAGTGACATTTCATTCAGAAGAAATTATTAGTCTAGAAGAGGGAGAAGAGGAGGAAGTCAACTGGCAGATCAATTGTTTAATTATTGTTGGAGTATGTTTATTTTTGCTATTTAATATCATTAATTTTACACCAAACATCACATAAAAAAACATTATGGTAAAGACAACAATGACAAATTAAATGGTAATGTTGTTGGGTTCTGAAACCTCATTTCTTGAAGGTTACATGCTCAAGAGAGGTTTGTTAGATGGATTTTAGAAAAACAAACCTGACTCTTGAATTTAAGGTGATCGTGGGAAACTAGGCCCAAGACAGTACTTTTTAAAAATATGTTGCAGCTATGTAGAGGAGGAGATAACTAAAAGCAGAAGGTGCAAACCCTCAAAAAAAGAAGTATGAGGTTTCTGCAAAACCAAAGAGCAGATGATAGCAAATTGCAACAACATCATTACAAAACAAAACTCCAGTGATACAGATGTAGGGTAGTGGTAACACATTCACAGGTTTCTCTGAAACTAAGGCATGTTGCTGTTTGTTACATCCTCATCTTCTGCTTCAACCTGTTGCAGAACAGAATACAACATTTAATACCTGAAGAAATATCAAACATAAGCCTATTTATTCAATACTAGCAGCTGAACATTTAAAAGTAGATTATATTGAAAGATAATTAATTTAAAATGGTTTGTTGAATTACTTGTGTATATTTTATAATTAAAATGATAATACATTAACCTCTGAGCATTTTAGTGCACTTATTTAGTGCTGTACAAGTTATGGTTTTAATGGTTAAGGGTTACCTCGTCTGAAGATGTTCTCACATATCTTACTTCCCCTTCAGCCTGTGTTGGAGAAAAAAGAATGTCATTTACAGATGAGCTATTGTTAGATTTAATTAACAAGGCAAGTGTTAAAGTACTTTATTATAGGTTTGTAAGGACATACTTATGTTAGTTCAAATTGTTTTACTGTACCTTCTTAACAACAATAAATATAAAGAATAAAATAAATCAATTACAATGATGTCCTCTCTACCTCTAAATGTAATGTCTTTGCTGTGAAAAGTTATATTAGGAAAATAAATCAAATATTTTACCGTTGTTGTGGCTGATGATTCTACTATTGTCTGCTCTAAAAGAGACATAAAAGCACCTGTTAGTTACACACCTGTATTTCAGAAGGAAGAGTTCACGATATATTTACCTTGTCGTTTGTTTATAAACCAGATTAACAAGTTCACCATCGCAAAAATGATTAGCAAACTCTAACGGATGATGAAGATCTTTAAGTTCCCTGAAACACTGCAGCAGGAATAAATAAATAAAAACACACAATGAAAATGACACATTTGTATAAACTGTCCAAATTTGCATGATAATGAGAAAGTCTCTCACCTTTGCTGTTTACCCTCGACAGTGGAAAGTGGTTGGTCTGCAGAACTAGAGGTATGCTTCACAGGCTCAGGGGTAGCAGGACTTGTTGCTGTAAAAGTGAATGTAATGACATGTGGATATAGCTATTAGAGTAAAATTACATTAATAATTGATAAGATTTAAATGTTATTAAATAAATAAATTGCAAATTACTTTACCCAACAAATGTTATATTTTTAATTAAGAATGACTTATAACACTTACTAGTTGTAGGTTTCTCAGTAACAGTTATGTGCACTGGCATCTGTAAGTCTCCTTTACCGCACCAATACCAGCCACTGCTCTCTGTCCTGAGTCCGCTCAGAGTCACAGTGAGAACACCAGGGCTACGTGCACTGATCTCGACTCTTGCTCCATCTATTGATCCAGACTGTGTTACACAGGAGCCGCCGAGCCTGCACCACTTCCTTTCTCTAGAGTTTCGATAGTGACACTTGATGTTTATGTTATCTCCTTTAAATCCTGTCATCTCTTGCTGAGCCACGTAGAGACTGGGTGAACCTTGATGGAGAACATCGTTCATTGAAACTCGTGAGCAGCGTGGTTAGTACATGCTGCTGATGTTTCAAATATGTTTGACATATATTTACATCTGGTGGATACGTTATTTGAAAAAAATAGGTAACTGTAATATTAAAGTGTTTATATGTCACAAAATATTTGAAAAGGCTTAATTGGGCTCTTACCTCCAGTGACTGACACGTGGAAATACTCTTTGTGTCGAGACGAAAGTCAATATTGAAAGAAAAATAATAATATAACTCACAATTTATCAATTTAATTATAATACCCTGAAAATGGAAAGTGACTGAATTATTATTATTATTATTATTATTATTAGAAATAAGGCAATGAGGCATACAAAATGTTTGTGATTTTGTTTGCATGTGTGCTAACATTTGTTTGTCCTCTGTGTTTGAAGGTTTTCAACCTGATGCAAAGCTGATGAGATTCTGACGAAAAGTGTCATATAAATAACAGCTGAGCAGAAAATAAAGACAAAAAGAAAGAATTCGAGTTGTCCAAGCGTCCTCTGTTGCCCTCCAGCCTCTCAAGTTTGGGCATAAGACTGAAAACAGGCCAAAACCCAGAAAAACTTGACACTTTGAGATCTGCTCCATCATCAATCTCCACAACACACCAGTAATAACCAGTGTCCTCTCCAGTCAGATCATTTATAGTCACAGTGAAGACTCTTTGTCTTTTATCATCAGAGATCGAAAACTTTCCTGAACTGCTTGGTTTATTTGTTTTCACCTCATATGAGCAAGAGGACCAACTATATCCCAAGTATTTCACATGGTTTGTGTACTTTGACTCATAGAGACAAGGGATAGTGATCGAACCTCAAGCTCTCACTGACACTTTACTGACTGTAGTTATGCTGTGAATTCCTGCAACAAGAGCAAATACAAAAATGTTAAAGTCATATTCAATAATAATTATCCATATTACCTTCTGACATTACCATGTGAAGCATACAATAACATATTCACAAATATAAAACGTTTTCTGTCATTGACCTGTGAGTCCGCTCAAAATGAGAAGGAAGCCGAGATGAACACGTAAAAAACATGATAGTGCTTTTTCAGATTGTTCAGATACTCCTTCAGTTGACCTGCATATTGTAGAAGTTCATAATGTTGTTTTCCACATAAGGCCATAATAGCTTAACTGGAGGGTATAACTTACTTAGCTGACATGTTGGATACTGCATACAAATACAAATAAAACCTGAGTCTTGTGACCAACCTGTTAGTCCAGCGAAGAGGAGAAGAAAGCTCAGTTGAACAGTCATGTTGGCAAATGGGCAGAAAACCACTTGAACCCAAACACTGGCAGACTGATTCTTTATTTCCTTTTTTGCTACATGTAATAACTCTACTTCTCCTCCTCCATCTGTAAGACAGACCCAATTACAGTAGTAAACTATGGGCAGTGGTGGCGAAGTCCATAGGGACTTGGCTTGGCAACTGGAAGGTCACCAGTTCAAGTCCCGGAAAGACCAAGTGCTACCGAGGTGTCCCTGAGCAAGGCACCGTTCCCCACACTGCTCCCCGGGCGCCGTACTTAATGGCAGCCCACTGCTCCTAACACTAGGATGGGTCAAATGCAGAGAAACCGTTTCGTTACATGGTACCTGTACTGTGTAATGACAATAAGTTGAATCTATCTATGTTTTGTTTGTGATATATACTCTTTATGCAGTTTGTTTTGCTACAACAGAGCACACATCACTCTTAGCATCTGACATATACACACATCAAACAGATGAATTGAACCGATTTTTTTTATTCAGTTACAAATGGGTACGGTGAAATAATAAAAGCTAGAATACTTATGTGTCTTTTTATATTATCTATAACATAGTTTGTTATTTGCTTAGTTTTCCCCACATGCCTAACATTGCTGTGTTTGGCGTCCTCTTCAGTCAGAGGAAGATTCAAACCAAACGTCTTTTTAAATAAAAACGATGTGTAATAGATCAGATCTGATGAGATTTAATGCATGGTCATCTTTATTAATATTAATATAGTACAAGCAAAACATTTTATGAATACTTTATTTGTAAGGCCGGATCAGAGAAATTAGAGTTCACTAACAATGCCTCTACAGTGCAATTTTACAATATCATTTACTGTAGACTTTGGGACAAGTTCCATATTTCTAAACAAAAGAATAGCACTTCAGGCATATGGACTAAACCTTGTTCATTTATTTAAAACATTAAACCACGACAACCATTTGAAGTATGTGTCAAACACGCACAGTGCATAAAAAATGGAGAGATAATATTACTTTATGAGCCATCAGAAAGTTGATGTTTCGAACAGTTAAATATATAAGAAGAAGAAGACAAGGAGGATGGCAGAAACTGAAATATCAACTCGTGATTTATTGCATTTTAATGTTTATTTTAGTTGACTTATTTTGTACTTTAAACATTATAATTCATGTTCCATCAAACATCAAACAACAAAACACACATAATACAATATGTAAATGAACAAACATAATTAAACAACCTGTAAGATTTGTTTGGTTCCTCCTGAATGTTCAGGAGTTTAGTCCTTTTGTAAGAGAGTAGAAAGCTTTTGTCAATGCATAAAATGTCTTGAGCTTAAGGATATGAAGAAAGGGGAAGGGGAGAAATAAGAAAAAAAGAAAGCGGTTTCTGCAAAACCAAAGATCAGATGTCGGCAAGTTGCAAGACTGTCATCTAAAAAAGCCTCCATCGATGAGCATAGATGTAGAGTAGGGGTAACATTCACAGGTTTCTCTGGTGCTAAGCCAAACTGCTGTATGTTACATCATCTTCTTCCGCTTGAATCTGTTGCATAAGTGAAGAAAAAACGACATTAGGGAGGAAAGATCAAAGAAAAAACGTACTTTTGCCTAACAGCTCTAACAGGCTGGACACAATGCTTTGAGCTAAATGCTAACGTAACATTGTCCTAACAATGTCAACAAAGGCTGAAGTACTAATGTTTAGCAGGACTGTTTACCATGTTCATAATCTTAGTTTAGCCAGTATCAATGCCAACATTTGCTAACACAAATCCAAAAGGATAACCGAGGATGGGGGAAATTAGCTTTCATAGTATTTGGTCATTATCAACAAACTACATTTCTGACCTGATTATGGCGCTATATGAAAATGTAAGGGATCACCAAATTCATAAGGATACATTATTTGGACACCAGGACCATCTGTACCAAATAGTTTAATGATCCATCCAACAGAACAGACAGAAATCGGTATCAATATATAGACACGCTTCTATTTTGCCTTCAAAATGTGGGGTAACAGCTTCACTATTACCATAGAATACAACATTTAAATGAAAATGTACCCTTTGTTTAGTTTGACGTTCTACAGCGACCACAGAGGAGTACATCACGTCCACATCTCTATTAGCTTCTGACCACTGTGGAAGAACGAAGAGACGGACACAATCAGATCAATCAATTTAACTTTTGATTTTGCTTCATAAAAACAATATTTTATGATGAAATAATAAATGCTGCCTGAGAGAACTTATCTAATTCTGTAATCCTGTTGTGAAATAAAAGTTGTGGTTTTATTGCTTAAGGGTTACCTTTTCTGAAGCTCTTCTCATGTGTTTAACATCGCTGTATGTTACTTCCTCTTCAGCGAGACCAAGCTGCAAACCATCAACATGAACATGAACAATTCTTCCTTTTTAGGGCAAACAGATGATCATTTCAATCACCATAAGAGTTTAACCAAAACCTACCTCTAAATAGTTTTTTGTATTCAAATGTATAATGTTCTGTGCCAATCGTTTTTACACAGTGTCTTACCTGACCTGAAGTCTTTCTCTTTTTATTGACAGTACTGTATGTTACATCCGCATTAGACTGTGTTAAAAGAGCAAAGGACAGAATTTGAATGGCAAATATGAACCAAAAGCCTAGTGTTCAATTGTTTAATGATCCATCCAACAGAACAAACAACAATGGCCACCCATATATAGACATGCTTCTATTTTGCCTTCAAAATGTGGGGTAAAAAAGCTTAACTATTACCATAGAATACAACATTCAAATGAAAATGTACCCTTTGTTTAGTTTGACGTTCTTCAGCGACCACAGAGGAGTACATCACGTCCACATCTCTATTAGCTTCTGACCACTGTGGAACAACGAAGAGATGGACACAATCAGATCAATTTAACAATTTAACTTTTGATTTGCTTCATAAAAACAAATGTTTATGATGAAATAATAAATGCTGCCTGAGAGAACTTATCTTTCTAATTCTGTAATCCTGTTGTGAAATGTAAGTTGTGTTTTTATTGGTTAAGGGTTACCTTTTCTGAAGCTCTTCTCATGTGTTTAACATCGCTGTATGTTACTTCCTCTTCAGCGAGACCAAGCTGCAAACCATCAACATGAACATGAACAATTCTTCCTTTTAGGGTAAACAGCTGATCATTTGAATCACCATAAGAGTTTACCCAAAACCTAATTCTAAATAGATTTTTTATTCAAATTTGTAATGTTCTGTGCCAATCGTTTTTACACAGTGTCTTACCTGACCTGTCTTTCTCTTTTTCTTGACAGTACTGTATGTTACTTCCGCATTAGACTGTGTTAAAAGAGCAAAGGACAGCATTTGAACGGCAAATATGAACCAAAAGCCTAATGTTCAATTGTCCTTTTGCAAAGAAAAAATAGTATGAATAAGAATAAGATTAAGGGTATTAGTAATTATAACAATATACATCATATGTAATAAGTATGAATGTGCTTTAAACAGTGATTCATTGTAGCTTCAAAGGGACAGTACAGTAAAGTCATATTCTATCTGGAATTACTGCAGTGTGAAATTAATTAATTTCCTTTCTTGTAAATTAATGATTATGTCTTACAATTATTGTGGCTGGGGATTCTTCTTTGGTCTGTCCTAAAAGTCAAGCAATCAAAAAGTATTGTTAGTGGCAATAATGCACAGTTATCTGCATTAATACTAAATATATTTATGATTAACGCACAATAATAAATGATATTATTTGGATTGAGCATAATTCGGCATAGACTTACTGTGCTTTTTGAACATAAACCAAATAAACATGGCCACCATAACAATGAAGATCAGCAAACTCAAAGGGATGATAAAGCTCTTTAAGTTCCCTGAAAAACTGCGGCAGGAATAAATAAAAACACACAATGCAAATGACAGACTTGTATAAACAGTCAAAATGTGCATGATTATGAGAAGGTCTCTCACCTTTGCTGTTCGCCATCAACAGTGGAAAGTGTTTGGTCTGCAGAACTAGTGGTTTGCTTCACAGGCTCAGGGGTGGAAGGACTTTTTGCTGCAAAGGTGAATGTAATGACATGTGGATATAGCTATTAGAGTATCATGACATTCATAATTGCTAAGATTTCATTTTTATTAAATAAATAAGAAATGTGTTTACCTAACAAATATTAAAAATGTTATATTTTTTTATTTAGAATGACTTATAACACTTACTAGTTGTAGGTTTCTCAGTAACAGTTATGTGCACTGGCATCTGTAAGTCTCCTTTACCGCACCAATACCAGCCACTGCTCTCTGTCCTCAGTCCGCTCAGAGTCACAGTGAGAACACCAGAGTTGCTTGCACTGATCTCGACTCTTGCTCCATCTATTGATCCAGACCGTGTCACACAGGAGCCGCCGAGCCTGCACCACTTCCTTTCTCTAGAGTTTCGATAGTGACACTTGATGTTTATGTTATCTCCTTTAAATCCTGTAATCTCTTGCTGAGCCACGTAGAGACTGGGTGAACCTTGATGGAGAACATCGTTCATTGAAACTCGTGAGCAGCGTGGTTAGTACATGCTGCTGATGTTTCAAATATGTTTGGCATATATTTACATCTGGTGGATACGTTATTTGAAAAAAATAGGTAACTGTAATATTAAAGTGTTGATATGTCACAAAATATTTGAAAAAGCTTAATTGGGCTCTTACCTCCTGTGACTGAAAGGTGGAAACGTGTTCCCGCATCTGCTCCATTATCAATCTCCACAACACACCAGTAATAACCAGTATCCTCTCCAGTCAGATCATTTATAGTCACAGTGAAGACTCTTTGTTTTTTTGTCATCAGAGATCGAAAACTTTCCTGAACTGCTTGGTTTGTTTGTTTTAACCTCATATGAGCAAGAGGACCAACTATATCCTTTACACAAGTATTTCACATGGTGTGTGTACTCTGACTCATACAGACATGGGATAGTGATCGAACCTCCAGATCTCACTGACACTTTACTGACTGTAGTTATGCTTTGAATTCCTGCAACAAGAGCAAACCCCACATTTTAAAAGCCATATTCAATAATAATTATCCATGTTACCTTCTGACATTACCATGTGAAGCATACAATACAAATATTCACAATGATACAATTATTCTGTCACTGACCTGTGAGTCCGATCAAAATGAGAAGGAAGCCGAGATGAACAGCCATGTCAGAGTGTGAGCGGACCAAACAACATGTACGAACTGATGCTCTACTTCCTTTTTCCTAAATATAAAATGCACAACTTCAAATATGGGTCCCTCCTATAAGGAAGTTGCGTTTCATTGGTTAATTGTGTAAATATATATATATATATATATATATAATTATTAGTGCAGTTGGAGAGTACCCTATTCTCTTACATAATAGCTTCGATGTAGAAAACATGAACACAACATTTCAAAAGAAAAAAACAGCACTTCAGGTTTATGGACTGAATTGTGTTAATTTATTTAAAGCATGACAGTAATAACATGAAATGATTAAAAACATTAAAAACATTTGTTTAACCCATGTGAGTCGGAAATATCATGTACCTGTCATTTTAACAATTGAAATCAGACATAGATAATAGGAATTTCCAAAGATACAGAGACAAACAATATTTATTATGGGTACTTTTTATGGGCAGTAAGCCTGAAAAACAGATAAAGTACAAGTCCTTTTCAAGTTATATATGTGTGACACCAAGCTAACCAGTTCCCTTAAACAACTTCACACAATCACCCTGTTTATTCTTTACATATCTGTGGTTGTATAGCCTTATGGTTTAACAAAGAGGATGTCTGATGGAGTAACACAAACCCTGTTTGAGTAACCACAGATGAGACCGATACATTTGGCTGTTTTCAGTTACATTATACAATTGTGTTCCTCGAAAAGCTAAATAAAAGTGATTGTACTGTACAGTAAAGTCAACTGTCATCATTTATTGTCCTTCCAGAACATGTCATATATTTATATATGACATTTTAAAGTATAACAAGTGTTAGCATATCAAACTAATTAAGGTTAAATATGAGTTTCTGATCATCTTAAAGATGGAATTAAGAACTAATTAATTAAAGTGAGAATAACATGTAAGTAATACAGTTGAAAAACATAAAAGTTATCAATGTTGTTGTTTATGTATGCAGCACAGGGTTAAAAAAAAGACGAGATGACTGCAGATGAAAAAGGAGAAGAAAGAAGTTACAGCACGACCAAAAAAAGCTGTCTGCTAACAGAGAGATAACGAGATTAACAGATTTAAATGTTTTGTCGGTCCTTAGCTACAATACAATTTGATTTGTGCTGAGTTACGATATACTTTACTGTATAATTTAGGGTAAGGTCCGGTGGATACACATATTTTTAACAGAAGACCAGCACTTTAGGATTAAGGACTGAAACATGTTCATTTCTTAAAACAATGCATTGGAAATAAATGCAAACTTTTTTTTTTAAGTGTGTGTAAAGCACGCACCTTACAGTATGGCCTGTTTCTGACAACAGAAACAGGCCGATCCATTAGTGATTTATTGTGTTTGAACAGTTGTTATTACTTTTTTGCAATTTACATAGAATTATTCATTTTACATAAAAAAATCAGACAACAAACATCACGATAAAAGTATATATTTAGATATAAAATGTTTTGGTTCTTCCTTCAACTTCTGACTTTTGGTCATTTTTAAGATTTTTAAACTTTTGTCAATGCATTTGGGAAACCCCATATTGAGCTTAAGAAGGTTCATAAGATGGGTTTTGTTAGCTTGTTGACTTTAAGATGCTTATGGGAAACTACGCCCGTGTCAGTACTTGTTTGAAATGTTTTGCAGCAGTGTGGAGAAGAATACCTTCAAAAAGAAAGAAAAAACAAATGACAGCAAGTTGCAAATTGTCTAAAAAAAGACTCCAGTGATGGGTATAGATGTAGGGTAGGGGTAACATTCGCAGGTTTTTCTGGTGCTAAGCCAACCTGCTGTATATTACATCATGTTCTTCCGCTTGAATCTGTTGCACAAGTGAAGAAGAAAATAGCATGAGGGAGGAAACATCGAAGCTACGATCAACTTATGCATTACTAACAGCTCTGTCAGGTTTTACATGGAGCTCTGAGCTAAATCCTAACAATGTGCACAATGAGAAAGCTAAATTACAAATTATTATCAGGAATGTTTACCTGCTAACATGCTAAAAAGTTGCCAAATAGCACTATCACAGAGACTGAGGCTCTGAGATTGAGGGCTATTAGCTTTCACGGTGAAATGTGGGGAAAAAGCGGTAAGTATGTTAGAAAAAGTTAAGGTCTGGGTTTGAATCCCTTAAAATGTACCTTTTGTCCAGTTTGATGCTCTAGTCTATAGTAACCAGATGAGTACATCACATCAGAGTACATCTCATCCACATCTCTATTAGCATCCGTCCACTGTGGAAGGAAGAAGAGGCTGCCATGATGAGATCACTTGAAACATTTAACTTTTTATAGTTAAATGACGATGGAATACAAGTTATGATGGAACACAAGTTGGGCCTTTTGGGGTCAAGGGTCACCTTGTCTGTAGGTTCTCTTTGTTTAACATCGCTGTATGTTACTTCCTCTTCAGCGCGATGAAGCTGCAAACCATCAACATGAACACATTTTTTTAGAAATCAGGAAACATTTCACAACTATTCTCCCTTTTTAGGGCAAACAGAGGATCAATGGAATCACCATAAGAGTGTAATACAACCTAATTGTATAATAAAAACACATATACTGTGTTAATTCTGTGGATGGTCTTGTTTTGAAATAAAAATAAAAATATTTATCGGCAGTAATTTCCACACAGTGTCTTACCTGGCCTGAAGTCTTTCTCCTTTGCTTAACAGTACTGTATGTTACTTCCTCTTTACCATGAAGGAGCAGAGAACAGAACATGAACGGTGAATATGAACCAAAAGCTTTAATTGGTTTATTTATTTAACCTATTTCTGTGTTTCTGACCTATTGTCTTGTTAAGAAAAACACTCTTTAATGTATATATTGAACTCCTGCAGCTGCAAATTGAAAGTAAAGTAAAGTTTCATATTATTTGGAATTACTGCAGTTAATATTAGAAAAATGGCTATGATAACACATCTCCTTGTAAAACAATGTATTGGGAAATGAATGATCATATCTCACCATTATTGTGGCCGGTGAATCTCCTGTGGTCTGCTCTAAAAGTGAATCAATTATAAACAATTTTTAATGACAATAACACACAAATAGTCTGCATGATCGTTAATATATTGATGTTTTACAAACAATTGTAATTTCGGCATATACTTACTGTGTCTTTTGAACATTAAGCAGATGAACGAGGCAACCGTTACAATGAAGATCAGCGAGCCCAACGGGATGATAAAGACTATCAAGTTTACTGAAACACTGCAGCAGATATAAATAAATCAAAGAAAACACAATGCAAATGACAGTTTGCCAACAGTCCAAAAATGTCGTTGCATGAAAATGTATAGGCTTCTCACCTTTGCTGCTCAACCTCAACAGTGGAAAGTCTTTGTTCTGCAGTACTAGAGGTGTGATTCACAGGTTTGGAGGTGGGTGTCAAGGTGGTTATTTGGCTTGTTGCTGCAACTGTAAATATAATTATATGTGGATATAACTACTGGAGCAAAAACACAATAATAAATGCTAATATTTAATCTAGATTGAATTAAACATTCTAACATTAATTTACTTAATATTTACAATTTTATAATTACTTTTAGTACTTACTAGTTCTAGGTTTCTCAGTAACAGTTATGTGCACTGGCATCTGTAAATCTCCTTTAACGCACCAATACCAGCCGCTGCTCTCTGTCCTCAGTCCGCTCAGAGTCAGTGAGAACACCAGGGCTGAGTGCACTGATCTCGACTCTTGCTCCATCTATTGATCCAGACCGTGTCACACAGGAGCCGCCGAGCCTGCACCACTTCCTTTCTCCAGAGTTTTGACAGTGATACTTGATGTTTATGTTATCTCCTTTAAATCCTGTCATCTCTTGCTGAGCCACGTAGAGACTGGGTGAACCTTGATGGAGAACATCATTCATTGAAACTTGTGAGCAGCGTGGTTAGTACATGCTGCTGATGTTTCAAATATGTTTGGCATATATTTACATCTGGTGGATACGTTATTTGAGAAAATGAGGTCATTGTAATATTAAAGTGTTGATATTTCACAAAAGATTTGAAAAGGCGTAATTGGGCTCTTACCTCCAGTGACTGACAGGTGGAAATACTCTTTGAGATCTGCTCCATCTTTAATCTCCACAGCACACCAGTAATATTCAGTGTCCTTATCAGTCAGGTCATTTATAGTCACAGTGAAGATTTTTCGTTGTTTGTCATCAGAGATGGAAAACTTCCCTGTATTGTGTTGGTTTGTTTTAATCGCGTCAGAGCAGAAGTTCCAAGTAGATCCTTTACACAAGTATTTCACATGGTTTATGTATTGTGACTCGTAGAGACATGGAATGGTGATCGAACCTCCAGCTCTCACTGACACTTTACTGACGGTAGTTATGCCGTGACTTCCTGCAACAAGAGCAAATGATTTTAAATGTTTTCTCTGCATATTTTAGATAATAGCAGTTTTAAATATTAGGTCACGTTTGTCGTAATTATAAATGAAAGACAAAAGTGGAGAATGTTAGTTTAATTGACATTTTTCTTAATCATCATCTTCTGACCGTTAAAAGGATATGATGCCATTTTCACACATTTAAAATGCTTTCTGTCACTGACCTGTAAGTCCAGTCAAAATGAGAAGGAAGCTGAGGTGAACAGCCATGTCCGTGTGTGAGCTAAAAAAGAAAAATGATGATGGTCTACTTCCTTATTTTCTAAATATGAAAACGTTCAAATCTGGGTACCTCCTACAGTGAAGACGTTGGCTGTGATTGGTTAATTGTTATATATATGCAGTTAAACAATATCTAAAGCAATAATAGCCTCAGTGTAGCGTCATGAATACAACAAATCAGCACTCCAGTTGGATTTACTTAAAGCATGTTAGTAACAACATCAAATGATTAATACGATTTGCATTTGTTTAACGTAACTGAGTTGAGTATCAGAAATATCATGAACAAATAAGTATGCTTATTGTTTCCTTCTATCCAAAGTGAAGGACAGAAACACACAGTATGTAAAAAACTAATTGGTAAAAGCTGTTGAAAAATCCTAAGAAATGATATGCACCTTGGTCCTTTTAGAGTTATAAGTATACAAAACAGCAAGCTCACCAGAGCACTTACATATTCAACCTTTTTATACTTTACATATCTGTGGTTTTATAGCCTTGTGGTGCAAGAAAGTGGATGTCTGACTGAGTAAAAAATGAACCCTTTTGAGCAACCACAAGGCTAGAAAACCGCAGATTCCTCCGTAGAAATGACATGTGACATAAGAGACGATTCATTTAGCTGTATTGAGTTAGATTCTAACAGGTGGTTTCTCGAAAAGCTAAATATAACTAAATGTTCTGAGATTAACGCATGAATACAAATATAGTAAAATATCTGCATAGTTGTCAATGTTTGTGTATGAAAGGGAGGGTTAAAGAAAGGTGAGACAACTAGTGATGCAAAGGAGAAGAAGTTTCTGCACAACCAAATGATAAAAGCAGACGATGACGTGTAACACTCTCGTCTAGTAAGAATAGCTGTCTGCTCGCAGAGAGATAAAAAGATGAACAGACGGACAAACATTTTCATTTTCTGTTAGTGCTGAGCCAACGTGCTGTACGTAACATCATTATCTTCTGCTTCAACCTGGAGAACAGAAGCAACATTACGATTAGAAATTCAGAACAGTCAACCAGACAAGTTGAAAGTGTTAAAATTTGACAAATAACCATTTTGAAATGTTCGAACAAAATGGATGGAAATGACTAAAAGAGAAGTGAGAAACGTTTTTTTATATATATAAAAAGGGAAGAAAGTGTTTACATTCTGTTGCTTTATGGGAATCACGGAGCTGTACGTCACGTCCACATCACTAGCATATGACCTCTGGATAGGGGACAGCTATTAAACAATAAATAAAACACTTTCCATCAACTATTCTTTTTTTAATCTGCACTTGTCATGGTTTAAGGGCCAAACAAATCACAACAAAACGACATGGCACCCTCTTTTTACACTATTAAAATGAAATTATTGTAATGGCATAATGTTTAGTGTTGGTGTTACCTGGCTTGATGTTTTCGTCACGATTCCAACATTACAAATATGTTACGTCCTCTTCAGCCTGTTTTGAAGAAGGAAGTGTCTTTCAAAACCTATACTCTCAAAGACTCTTCTGGAAATGTACTGCATTGTGTGAGATATTACCTGGCTTGAAGACTTTCTCTTGGGCCTAACATTGCAGTAGATGATTTCCTCCTCAGCCTGTGTTGGAGGAGAAAAGGACGTTCTCAAATCCTGCTCTATACAGTTTCAAAAAGCATAAAATAAAACATATCTCCAGTTTATTAAATTAGAATCTGCTACAACATGCAGTTGCAGTGCACTCAAAAGTAACTATAGGTTACTTACGTAACCCCAGTTCTCAGAGTAACATGAAGTGAGATGTCTCACTATGGGATGCGCCTCATCGCGGAGCAAACAGAAGCATCAATCTCATTACGCCAATCCTGATTGGCTGGTGATCTTGACGTCAGCGTCAGGGAATTCACCCCCTATAAGTAGCTTGCGCCACGACGCATGCGTCATTCAAAATAAGCACCTCTTCTCGCTTCACCATAGCAAGGAGGGCCGTCTGGTGAGACATCTCACTTCTTGTTACTCTGAGAACTGGGGTTACGTAAGTAACCTATAGTTCTCATTCATAACACTCCGTTCGATGTCTCACTATGGGAAATTGTAGCTCCCGTATTGTCAGACGAGCTTATCTCGAAAATCACCAAACCAACCAGAACTAAACAGGTAGAGCTCTGACTCAACCAGGTGCCCAGCACTGCTTGAGTCACACTGGGAGCAGAACGTCCAGCCTGTTAAGAGGCGGACAAAAGTGAGCGGCGAGGACCAGCTCGCCGCTGCACCAATGTCTTGGATGGGAGACATCCTGGACAGAGCCCAGGATGCAGCCAGACCCTGAGTCGAAAGAGCTCGCGGACCCGAGGGTGCCTGCGAACTCTGACTCGTATGAGCCCCAAAGCAATTGCTTCCACAAACCAGTGGGAGAGCCGTTGCTTAGTAACAGGCTTGCCCTTATAAGGGTTAGCCCAGGACACAAGGGGTTGGTCATTATGACGAAGCACCCTTGATCTGTCCCTGTACGTGCGTAAAGCACGGGCTGGACACGGCAAATCCGGCCGCTGTTCCCCGGAGGAATACAGTGGCGGGGAGGATGCCTCAATGTCAAATGTGGTACCTGAACCAACCGCCTTAAGATAAAGGCAGGGTCAGGCTTCAACCACACTCTGTTTGCCCTGGGGCGAACTGAGTGCATGAAGACTGTACAGATAGTGCATGAGTGCCACTGGCTCGCTTGGCAGCTGCCAGGGTCAGCTTCATGTCACACTGTATTCAGATTGTACCACTCACGCGCCAGGCCCATAGAGCCAAGCGCTCTGGGTGTGGGTGAAAGATCGCCCCCCCCGCTTGGGACAGTATGTCCCTGCGTAGTGGGAGCTGCCATGGCTGCCCGCACAGCAGCTGATATATCTCCGCTAGCCAGTACATAGCTGGCCAGTGCGGAGCTATCAGGATAAGTGTGTGGCATTGCTCTCTCACTCTGGCCAGAGTTGGGGGTATCAGAGCCAGGGGTGGGAACGCGTACAGAAGGCCCGGGGGCCAATCGTGCGCGAGTGCATCCACGCCTAACGGTGCATTTAGATCGCGCATCGAAAAGAACAGCTGACACTGAGCGTTGTCTTTCGATGCGAACAGATCCACCGCGGCTCTGCCGTAACGCACCCACAGCTGGCTCACAATCCTTGGATGTAGAGTCCAGTCTGCATAAAGTGGTATACCTCTGGACAGTAGATCTGCCCCGAGGTTCCGCTCCTATGGTCTACCGCTCCATAGGATCAGTTTGCGCGCCAGTGTGTGTAACTGGAGACAACGCAAACCCCCTTGGCGGTTAATATACGATATTGTGGTCGTATTGTCTGTCCTCACGAGGACGTGATGTCCCCTGAGGAAAGGCAGAAAGCGTTTTAGGGTGAGAAACACCGCTAAAAGCTCCAGGTAATTTATGTGCGCCCGCTGGAGGTCTCTGCTCCAGAGACCCCTCACCGGGCGACCTTCATAAATACCTCCAAAACCTGTCAGACATGCGTCCGTGGTGACCACTTTCCGTGAAAGGACAGCACCCATAGGCACACCTCGTACTAGAAAAGTCGGGTGCAGCCAGTGGCGCAGTGCCATTACGCGTTTCACAGTAACCATAACTCTCCGCGCGCCATGGCGCGGGGTTTAGTTTTAGTTTTCCGCCCAGCACTGAAACTCCCTCATGTGTAAGCGTCCCAGTCGTACGACCAGGATGGCTGACGCCATGAGCCCCAGCAATCGCAGGCATGATCTGAAGAGAACATGTTTGCGCAGCTGGAAAAGAGCGAGACAAGCTCTGAAAGCTTTCACTCTTTCCGCTGACAAGCGAGCTGAAAAGGGCACTGAGTTCAGGCGTAAACCCAGGAAGAGTATATTCTGCGCGGGGCACAACATGCTCTTCTCTGTGTTTATTATGAAACCCAGGTTGAGCAGGTGCTTTACGAGGACATTTGTCTGCGTAACAGCCTCCTGCTCCGACTGTGCGAGAAGCAGCCAGTCGTCCAGGTAGGTCGCCAGGCGAATACCCTGTTGTCTTAACGGGGCTATCGCGGCTTCCGTACATCGTACAAACACCCTTGGACTGAGAGACAGACCGAAGGGGAGTACTCTGTATTCATAACAGATCCCCTGAAATGCGAATCTCAGATATTTCCTGTGTGGGTAATATACTGGGATGTGAAAATACGCATATTTCAGGTCGACTGATGTAAACCAGTCGTCTTGTCGCACGAGCCGCAGCAGAGATGTGTGAGTGAGCATTCTGAACTTATATCGGCTCCAGCCGGCACTGCACATGTGCGTGACGGTGGTGCCTTTACAGCCCCAGCCGGCACTGCGCATGTGCGTGACGGCGGTGCCTTTACAGCTCCAGCCGGCACTGCGCATGTGCGTGACGGCGGTGCCTTCACGACCCCAGCCAGCACTGCGCATGTGCGTGACGGCGGTGCCTTTACAGCCCCAGCCGGCAATGCGCATGCGCGTGACGGTGGTGCCTTCACAGACCCGTCAATTGTCCGCCCTTTGAGAGAGGCCGTAGCTGCTCTCAGAAGGGGAACAGTTGACGGACTGTTTATTGTTTTTCTTTAAAAAAAATTGGAGCTGCGCCCTTGGCTTGAAGCCTGGATGCGTCAGCGGAAAATGTTTTATGACAGAAAAATCAATAAGTGTGTGACATGTGTTTACGCGGACTTGAGGATGGTGTTGAGGCATCTCTCGAGGCGGCGGGAACACATTTAGAGCTGGGGAACCGTAGACTTCCAGCTCTGTCACAGAGGGGAGAAGGAGGGGCTGTCACGCCGCTCGCTTCTTCTTCCTCGACTGCTGGCCGAAATTCTGGGTTGGCTGCGCCTGGGCTGCAGCCGGAACCGGAGATTTTCTAGGCCAGCTCGCCCTCGTCCCCTGCCTGGGCTGGGAACTCGGGGCGGACTGCGACCTCTGCGTTTTCGGTATTTTGAACCGAGCAGGGTTCGGAGCAGCTTGGACGAAGGGCTGCCGCTACGAAGGCAGCAGCTGGGCCCTTCGAGGGAGGCAGAGGTGGAGGGCCTCGTCCTCCTTCTTTTTCGACTCGCATCTCCTCTGCATGGAGGCAAGAGCGGAGCCGAAAATCCCCTCGGGAACGATGGGCATGTCAAGCACATCCTCCTTTTCCCGGTCTGGGAGGTTGGTGAGGTTGAGCCATCTAGCTCTTTCCTGCACCACCATGATCCCCATTGTTTTGCCCGTGGCCTGGACGGCGCAGCGTTGGACACGGAGACAAATGTCTGTGACCGCGGCCAACTCATCCAGAACGGCCTGTCCAGGATTACTCAACATATCCTCACAGAGCTCCGCTTGGTATGCGGTTAGCAGTGAGGAAACGTTCAGAGCCCTGGCGGACAACGCTGCGGCTCTGTAGGACCGTTCAGTCATGGTCGACTGGAAACGGTCCACCTTCGCTGGCAGCGTGGGGTTCCTGCTTGGTAACGGGCCCATCCTCGGTAGGAGGTGGGCTGCCACCAGCAGTTCCATCGGCGGTATGCGGAGCAGGCCGAGCCTCTGCGGGCGAGACCATGGTGAGGTCTCGCCGGGAGCTCCCGCCTGGTGAGGCGTGGGGCTCCGTTCCCGCGTCTCTTGCCGCCACCGGGTCCCGGCCTGACAAGCGTCCTCGCTACCGTGGTGTCGGTAGTAAGGGGAAGCTAGCTAGCAACAGGTGCGTAGCTAGCTTGAGAAAAATCAAAACCTTACCTTACTTTCCGGGGAAAGAAACGGCGAGGTCGATTTTAATACTAACTGGTGTTAGTATTACCGTCTTCTTGCGAAGCAGAAGGAGTAGCCGGCGAGCGCCCGTCGACCGAAATGGTTATATTTGGGTTCAGTCTGTGGACCGTTAAGCTTGTCCGGCTACTATAGAGATGTGCTCTGAAGCGAGAAGAGGTGTTTGAATGACGCATGCGTCGTGGCGCAAGCTACTTATAGGGGTTGAATTCCCTGACGCTGACGTCAAGATCACCAGCCAATCAGGATTGGCGTAATGAGATTGATGCTTCTGTTTGCTCCGCGATGAGGCGCATCCCATAGTGAGACATCGAACGGAGTGTTATGAATGAGAACAGTATTTTCTTTTAAAAATGTTACGAACTGGTTTACTTTTACAATTATATTGAAATCACTGAAGCAAAAATGACCGTTAATGCACTTTTATCTCTACGCTGTAAATCTTTATAGCCTAATACATAATAATTCATGGTATTTATTTAGCGCTTTACATTACATTATTATATAAGACAATACCCACAGGAGCCATTTGAAATAAATACATAAGATACAAATACCATGCATTCATTGAGAAGGATATGTATATCTTACTGGTGTTGCATATGATGATTCTGCTTTATTCCATTCTAAAAGTGAAACAGAATGATGACAAATGAACAGTGCACTTCAATCGATACTCAAAGGAAATATATTTTAAAAATAGAAAAGTATTTGTCAAGAATAGGATGTTCTTCAGACTTTGACTTACTGTGTTTTTTCAACATGAACCAGATAAGCAATGCCACAATCAGACTGACGATGAGGCTCTCTATGTCAAATGAAGCCCTACGGAATACATGTAAGCGCACACAACACCAATTATTTGAAATACAGTATTATACCCTGTTTTAGTTTCAACATATTGGTCTCAGATATAAATAATGTATTTAAAAAGGCAAAGAGTGCTTACAATGAGTTTAATTTGACCATAAAATGGCCATTGCTTTTTGAATACTGCATGTAAATGCAAAGACTGACCCGTACTGTTCATTCTTGACTGTGGTAATAGCTTTGTCTGGGTGGCTGTGATTGAGAGTGGTTGGAAGTCTTGTTGTTGGAAGTGTGGCTATAATTCATGACAGAACAATGATTCGTAAAGTAATATGCAGTATACGTATCCTTCTAAGGATAGGGTTAGGGTTCGACATTTGCAAATGGCTGTACTTGGCATACATTGTATACTTACTAGTGGGTCTGTCAGTAACTGTGACATGCACCGGCATCTGTAAATCTCCTTTAACGCACAAATACCAGCCACATTCAATATAGATTGATAGGTAGCCTAATTACTTTATATACAATAGATTTGTAGATTGACATGTGTTGCATCTACAGAAGTTACATCTGGTAGAGAACAAGGTATTATGATTGTATCTCACTACTTTTAATAAAACATTGTTGTTGCTGAATTACGACCCTTCTTAGGGATTTTCTACCATAATTGACTTTGAGAGCTCATGCACACGTTCAATATCCTGATTGTTCAGGAGGATAAAGATCGAAGGACTTAAGCGTTGAGATTAACAATAAAGAAAAGCAATCTCTTTTATCCATCTCATTGTAAAATATCAGGATTAAGGATTTAAAATGTGCTGAAAGATGCTTTAAGGTCTCTTACCTGTGACTGACAGGTGAAATGTGTCCCCAACATCTGCCCCTCCATCAATCTCCATCAATCTCCATCAATCTCCACAACACACCAGTAATAATCAATATCCTTATTTTTCAGATCATTTATGGTCGCAGTAAAACATTTTAGGATTTTATCATCAGAGATTGAAAACTTTCTTGAGCTACGTTGTGAATCAGTCCGGACTTTAGTACAGCAAGACAACCAAGGTCCTCCTTTACATCAATATTTAACTTGATTTCTATGTTGCAGGTCATAGAGACATGGGATAGTGATGGAATCTCTGGCTTTCACTGACACTTCACTGATTGAGTAATGGTGTGAATTCCTGCAACAAGAATACATACAGCCTTTTAACTGATATATACGCATTCACATTCAGTTTTGACATACTAAATTGTATTTGTATGAAATAAAACATTGTAACCCAACAAACGCCTGCCTTTTTGTGTCATCTACTGACATGTGAATTGGCTCAACCATTTTTAAAATGATCAGTTACTGACCGGTGAGTCCAGCGAGGATGAGAAGAAGTCTGAGGTGAACAGCCATGTCGGTGAGTATTCAGACAACACACAGAGGACCCAAGGCAGCGACAAGCATTTATATTTTCCTTCTATTTTATATGCAACTTTGTTACAATCGTTCTTCTTTTTAAGTGAGTTCCTCACATAAGGTGTCTGTAAAGCATTATTATGCTCTACATGGTGTCCATTGATGAAGATATTCTTCAATTAGAAGATGAGTAAAACCCATTTCCTCTGACACAACATGTCTTGCAAACTAAAGCCTGGAAACGGTTTGTGAGAATTAAAATGGATGAATTGGAAACTGTCTTTTTTCAAAGCAGCCATTTTCGGCCCCAGCTAAAATGCAGTACCCAGCAACCTGTTTTTCAACCTGTTGTCTGTGTGATTATTATGATTATTATTACTTAGTTATTCTATCTCCCATTGTAAAGTGTCCGTGTATTTTGACTTGAAAAGTGCAGATTGTAACATTAGTAAAGGTTATTTTCATGTATCCAAAAGGCCATGCCTGTGTTACAGTGAGGTAGCATGAACAATACCAGGACTCTGAAACTGAAGCAGCTCAATTTAATTCAGCCATTATTCATTTTACCTTACAATACAAACTGACTTGTAAACTGAAAAGCAACTCTATAAAAGGGAAGCTTTGAACATTACAAGATATGAACTGATTTGACACTTTAGGTAGCAGTATTGTGCTATTTTAACATTTCCAGTGGTTTTATACCATCAGGATGTCTGATGGCAGCACATAAGCAGTGGTTGGTGTTTCAAGACAATATGATATTGAATATTATGACAATATAATAATGAATATTATTAATATAGTACAGTTAGAAACATTTACACATTGAAATTTGAAACAAGGACAGGAGATTACATGTTATGAAATATAATTACAAATGTTTGTAAATGCACTTTGAGTCAAGACGACTTACGTGTGCATTAGGCCTAACAAATAATACTGTTAACATGTTGACAACAGTTTCGTCAAACACAGGGAAATGCTTCTTAGTAATGTTATCTCCAAATAATACCAATAACCAGACTAGTTTACAAGATAAATAGACAAGCAGTGGTTGAATATGCTAAGCTGTGCTGGAGCTAAGCCAATGTGCTGTATGTGACGTTCTCATCATTCGCTTCAACCTGTTGAAAAAAAGAATGAAAGAAAAACAGAAAAGGATGTTTTTCTAAATTAGAAAAGTGCCATAAATCCAGTGAGACTAACAATTAAATAAATTAATAAAAACAGTGACAGTCAGTGTGAAATGTTCTTAATAGTTACCATTGGTACATGTTGCTGCTTCATGGGGATCACAGAACTATATACCACGTCCACCGCACTCTCCGCAGGTGAACTCTGTGTGAGGAAGGTGACACAGTTATAAAAGATAGGAGTGTGCAACTTACGTTTTTGATTAATCACAAATTATTTTATTTGTTTTTAGTTGGGAATGGTAAAGTAAGATAGATGTACCAAGTGTATCAATGAGCCTTTTAGTATTTTACTTGACGCACTGGTTGGATCATAGAGATGCTCAACATGATTATGAATATCAAATACCTGTATGCCCTGTAGAATATGCAGTACAGTTAAAGAAAGTGATAGTACATTATATGAAAATGTAACATCTTAATATTCTGCAGTGATGGATTACCTGGCTTGAAGTGTTTCTCTTGTGCGTAACAGTACTGTATGTTATTTCCTCTTCGGCCTGTGTTAAAGGAGAGGGGGAAAAAAGACTTCACATGAAATGTTCAGAAATGCAATTTCAACCAAATTAACTAAAATCTCGGTACATTAAAGTAAAAATAAAAGTCATGATAAGAATGATTACCCTAATTAGGATACTGTTGAGTTAGATCTTTTAAAATGGTTATAATATTCTGTATTTAATCTCATAAACATATTAATTGTGTATCTGCAATTGTAAAAGGTCCGCCCACTGAATTTGTGCAAAGGTAAAGTATGTTCTCTGAAGACTTTACATTGCATTTTAACCACAATTGACTAATGAAAGCTTTAGCGCAAGTTCAATAAGGAAGACCTAACTCGAGTCACTCACACGTCACTCTATGGCTCCCTTCCCCCCTCATTAAATATGAGGGCGTCACGCCTCAGCAGCCAATCGCTGCACATGCTAAATGCCTTAAATACCTGCTCTTCCTCCCTGTCAGTTGTCATTGCAGATGATCACACGCAATGGTAGTTGCAATACAATACTGCTTCTCGTGAGAAAAAACCGTAAGAAACAACTAGCTCAAGATGTCCAACTCGGACAATTCGGAACACGAACCTTCTCTGGAAGTCTCCGATCCCGGTTCGGCTCCCCACAGCGGCTTATCAACAGAGGCAGACTTCCTCATCGCCCGGCTCCTGCAGCAGGGCTTTCCCACAGCCCCAGGCCTCACTCTCTCTCAGCGGCGATAGCTCTCGGACCAGGTCTCCAGCGTAGCTCCCCAGTCCGGGGCAGCAGCTCCAGCCAGCTTCCCAGAGAGCAGGACGAGGACGCAGCCGCGGAGGTAAAAAAAGGGCAGGAAGTCGAGCCCTCCAGGATCCCGTCCCCCTCCAAAAAAATCCACCCCTTCTCAGGCTCGCCAGTCCGGGAGCGTCACACACCCCTATGGAGAGTAGCGCGGCCGGCTCCCTGCAATCCCTGGCTAGCTCCATGATAGCTATCGATGCTCGCCTCCAGGCTCTGGAAGACTCCGCCACAGGAGCTTCAACTTCCGTTGCACTCAGGTACTAGTTTTAACGAAAACGTTTGCACTCGACCCTTACACAGGGCTGGGTTGTAACGGAATACATGTAACGGTGTTACGTAATCGGAAGGGAAAAAAAATAAAAAATCAGTATATTCAGCTGGCGTTACATTTGAAAAAACGAGTAAACTGAGTGCAGTTACTTTCGTAAACCTGAAGTGAATACTTATTGGAATTATTGGTGGAAAGTTTCCTCACAATGTAATATTCATTACCGGCAGAACCGTGTGCACAGCGATGCAGCGTATCTGCGAGCGAGAGATGTAGCGTGTCCGTGAGGCCCCGCCCCGCACGCAGATGAGAGAGAGAGAGTTCTCTTTCAAAACATATTGGAAGGTAGAAACGGAGATGTTTAGATAAAACGTGGAAGATAACGTTTATGTAGCATTTATGTATTGTCGAAATTATGACATTCATAACGGGATCAAATCTAACTGAATGGCCTGCTGCTGCCGAATGCATGGGGCAAGTAACTGGGAAAAGTTTTAAAAGTGATTACATCGTTTCAGATAATAAATAACGATAATGTATTCTATTTAGGGGCGCCTTTCAAAGCACCCAAGGACACCTTACAATGCATACACTTTTCCAAGGAAAGGTTTTAAGACAGTACAAAGAATGCAGTCTGGGTGAGTTTTTCTTTTTATGTACGGTGCAGATGAGAGAGCTGTCAAGAATGACACTAAAATGTCGTGTTCGTGCTCTTCATAAGCCATTAAAACAGTAAAATACGTGTCTCCCGTTCACCAAAACATACCCATCTGTTATGGAAAAGAAAGTATTCTAAAGAGAAAGAAGAAAGGAAAAGATAGAAAGAAGAGGAAAAGATAAAAAGAAGAGGAGGAAAGAAGAAAAAGAAGAGGAAAGGAAGTATTCTAAAAGTAATCTGCCACCGGTACCGGCGGGATCGTGGTTAGTTTCCGATGCGCAGAAGAAAATCTGGCCCACCCTATATTTTTACAGGCCCACCCTAAAGTAAATTTCTGCCTACGCTACGGTCCGCACAGCAGCAACAACCAATCACATGAATCTCTTGCCCCCGACACACAAAGCAATAGCAATGTTAAAACTAAGTAAACTGGAAAGGAAAAAAAAATCCCCAACAGGCGAAAACCTACCAGTTTCACCCACTGTCTCTGCCTCCTCCCTCCATGCCTCGCTCCTCTGGTTTGTATCCCGGTAGATGAACAGAGACTGATCATACAGCACCGGGTGATTCACTACCGCTATAATGAATTTTCCCTCACATTTTTGGAATATGAGGAATTACCTGCGTAGTCTCTCCCAACATACACGCGGTCTGATTGGCTAGCGCTTGTACCGGCAGATTTGCATAAACGGGACTTCATTGGCTGACGCTTCTGCCGAGGCGCCAAAAGTTGAACATTGCTCAACTTTTTGAAGCGAGCAACGCCAGCAAACGCTCCACGTTGCTTCCCAAAATACAGTTCTACTAAAAGTGACGTCACCCCATTCAAAGTGAATGGGCAGAAGCGTCGGAATCTGTAACGCACGCCACCGTGTGGACGGGCCGTCACAGTGGCTCTGCGCCAGAAACAAATCAAAAAAAAAAAAAAAAAAACATTCTGGAATATCACCCCTCCACTCCCATTAACATCCCTCAGCTAGCAGCTGCGCTATCTACAGATTCCGTGTTCGTTGACTATCTCCCGTCAGGGCTCTCCCAAGGCTTCAGGGTAGGAGTCCTCCCATCTCCCACAGTGACTTTCGTAGCAAGAAACTTACAGCCGCTAAAGAACCCAACATAGTTTCCCAGCTCATCGACAAAGAACTTCTCAAAGGATATATAATCGGTCCTTTTAGCTCCTCCCCCCTTCTCAGTGTTCCGTTCAAATCCCATCGGAATAGCCACACGTAAATAAAAGGCTGATTTTCGATCTGTCCGCTCCCTGCTCCGGCCCATTCTGCAGCGTCAATAGCATCATCCCTCCAGATCAGTTCTCCCTTCACCATGCCTCAGTGGATAATGCAATAAAGATGATCAAGTTCACAGGGCACGGAGCTCGGCTCTCCAAAGCGGACATTACCGATGCCTTCAAATCATCCCCATTCATCCGTCTCAGTGGAACTTGTTCGGTATTAAGTGGGAGTCCAAACTCTATCTTCGCGTTCGCACGACCTTCGGGTGCAGAAGCAGCCCCTGCATCTTCAATTCCTTCTCGGAAGCGCTCCATTGGATCCTGCTGAACATCGTCAGAATCCCCTCCGTCCTTCACCTACCGGACGACTTCCTCCCCATAAACCCGCCACAGGACAGCTCAGGGATCTCACTGGCCAAGCTTAAACACTGCTTCAGGAGTGAGGTGTCCCTCTCTCCAAAGAGAAAACGTTAGGTCCCGTCACACGCTTAGAGTTCTTAGGCATCATCCTCGACTCCATAGACATGAAGGCGTCTCTCCCCTCCGACAAATCGCAGCGCATCCAGGACATCACCAAGTCATACTGCGAGCAACAAGTTATCACAAAACAACAGTTGCTCTCCCTTCTCGGACACCTCAACTTCGCCATGCACGTCATCCCCCAGGGGCGCTCGTTCATCTCCCGCCTCCTGGACGCAGCATCAGCGGTCGACAACCTCCATGACTGCGTTTTCTTAGACGAAGGCTGCCGTTCAGACCTTCGGTTCTGGTCCCTCCTGCTCGCCCACTGGAACGGAATTACTTTATTTACGATGGCCTCGTGCGTTCCTCTGACTCAATGAGGTCTTCACGGATGCCGCCCATCCATGGGTTTTGGGGGGTTTCTTCCAGGGAGAGTGGTTCGCAGGGTCATGGCCCCGTCAATTTCTACCCAAGCAAGTTCTCACTAAATCCAGCCTATCACCCATATCATACCCGGGCATTCCTTCAGGATAGGTGCAGCCACCTCTGCTGCTAATCAAGGTCTCTCTACCTCATCCCTACAACAACTAGGACGGTGGTCCTCCTCCGCCTTCACAACCTTCATTCGTCCGGACATCAGCGCCGTACGGGCTTCCCAAAGATCTCTCAGACCCTAACTATGGTAGTTATACATATAACTGGTGGTGGCTCAAACACATTCACAAGTATACATGTCTCACTAAGGTTCCCGATATTCAAAACTGCATTCCTGTCCTAATTCCGCGGGCCCCGCCCACAGGGAATAATGTCTCGTCTCACGCCGCAACTACAGGTAATGGGCTTCATCTCCGGCACACAGGTATTTCATTCCCAGGCCTTGCTCAAACGCATCAGTGTAAAATGTATTTCCTGCAGTCCGCGTGGACTCGGGCCACCGTACACTCCGGTATCAGTTACAAAACAAAGGAAATAAAGAAAGAGTAAAGATATATATATATATATATATATATATAGCCTGCGAAGTCAGGCGTGGCGGAAGGCCACCGTACACTTCGGTGTCAGTTACAAAACAAAGGAAAAATAAAAAAAAAAATATATATATATATATATATATATATATAGCCTGCGAAGTCAGGCGTGGCGGAAGGCCACCGTACACTTCGGTGTCGTAGCGGAAGGCTACCGTACACTTCGGTGTCAGTTACAAAACAAAGAGTAAAGAAAAAAAGATACATATATATATATATATATAACCTGCGAAGTCAGGCGTGGCGGAAGGCCACCGTACACTTCGGTGTCAGTTACAAAACAAAGGAAAAAGAAATAAAGAAAAATATATATATATATATATATATATATATATATATATATATATATAGCCTGCGAAGTCAGGCGTGGCGGAAGGCCACCGTACACTTCGGTGTCGTAGCGGAAGGCTACCGTACACTTCGGTGTCAGTTACAAAACAAAGGAAAAAGAATAAAGAGAAATATATATATATATATATATAGCCTGCGAAGTCAGGCGTGGCGGAAGGCCACCGTACACTTCGGTGTCAGTTACAAAACAAAGGAAAAAGAATAAAGAGAAATATATATATATATATATATATATATATATAGCCTGCGAAGTCAGGCGTGGCGGAAGGCTACCGTACACTTCGGTGTCGTGGACGTTGGGCCACCGTTACAAAACGAAACCGCTCGCTCCTCGGCGTAGTCAAGCCCTGCTGGCCAGGCATGCGACCCGCAGGTCGTTTTCAGGTAAGACCGGCACTGATTTCGGCAGTCAGAGTCTCAGCATGACCAGTAAGCTCCGGCAGTGATTCCGGCACAGTGTCGCTCATATACGTGTTAATCTATTATCTCTCCTTCCCAGATCACCAGTCACCCCACAAGGTAAGCAACTCAGTTCATCTCAGTATTCATACTTCACTGGTTTTGGGGATTTCATCGGAGCGGTGCTTTCCCTCCTGAATGATTATCCTGCAAACCGGGGCCTAATCGCCAAACACCATTACATTCTCCTGTTGTATTATCATGGCAATCATTTCATTCATATGACGTGTAAACAATAAATATGTAATTCTTACATCACGTCTCTCCGGTTTGAAATGAAAGCTTTAGCGCAAGTTCAATAAGGAAGACCTAACTCGAGTCACTCACACGTCACTCTATGGCTCCCTTCCCCCCTCATTAAATACGAGGGCGTCACCCCTCAGCAGCCAATCGCTGCACATGCTAAATGCCTTAAATGCCTGCTCTTCCTCCCTGTCAGTTGTCATTGCAGATGATCACACGCAACCCGCCTCCACCCCTCTCGCCTCCGGTCTCCTTCAGGACAAAGCTAAACCTTCCTCCTTCAGACCAGTCTCACCTACTCATCACCACCACCAGTGTCTAGACCCCGGGGATTTCATCGGAGCGGTGCTTTCCCTCCTGAATGATTATCCTGCAAACCGGGGCCTAATCGCCAAACACCATTACATTCTCCTGTTGTATTATCATGGCAATCATTTCATTCATATGACGTGTAAACAATAAATATGTAATTCTTACATCACGTCTCTCCGGTTTGAAATGATGTTCTCGAAAGCAAAACCCAAGGTCTTGAACCTTCCTCCTATCACCACCTTGCAGGGGACGGAGATTTAATCTGTGTTGCAGTATAAGTATCTTGGAATTATAATTGACAATTCACTTTCTTTTAAACCACACATTGTGGAGCTCTTGAAAAAATTAAGAATACAATTAGCTTTTTTCTTTAGAAACAAGTCTTGTTTTTCCTATGAGGCCAAATAGAGACTAGTGTCTGCAACCTTTCTGTCTGTGCTGGATTATGGAGATGTGGTTTATATGAATGCATCTTCTCAGTGCCTTCACTCGCTGGACACCGTCTACCACGGTGCACTGAGATTCATCACAAACCTCAGATCCTTGACGCACCACTGCAATCTATACACTCGTGTTGGATGGTCTTCCCTGACCACGCGTAGACTGAAACATTGGCACATCCTTATATATAAGGCTATTCTTGGTGCTCTTCCCCCTTATCTAAGGATGTACATAAATAGAAAATGCACAGGATCCTATCGGCTTCGCTCCGAGAACTTTTTCTATTTCACTGTACCAAAGGTCCGTACTGAACTGGGGAAAAGGGCGTTCAGTTACGCTGCCCCTCAAGCTTGGAACCTGCTTCAAACTGAGCTGAAACTCAGAGAGCTGGTCTCATTAGAAACACTCAAAGCAACTTTAACTGACCTTGAAGGAGGCCGCTGTGTCTGTAAATGCTTTGGCTAAACTTGGTGTATGACTGTGTTGTGATTGTGTGTTTTGTTTTTTAATTGTCTGTAACTGTAAAACTGTCTGAAACTGTGCTGTTACCATTCTTGGGCCAGGACTCTCTTGAAAAAGATATTTTTAATCTCAATGAGACCTATCCTGGTTAAATAAAGGTAAAATTAAAAAAAATTAAAAAAATCACCCTCAAGCATGTTCAACACAAAACAGAGCAGTGGTCGTTCTTATAATCTTTTGAATGTGCAAGTTACCTATTCCTGTATGTCTTTTTTTCTATATGGAACTTCAAGCTTCTGTCAAACCCGCACAATTAATACAAAATGGAAAGATTTAGAAAACTGCATTACCCTCATGAAAGTGACCTTTCATTCAGAAGAAATTATTAGTCTAGAAGAGGGAGAAGAGGAGGAAGTCAACTGGCAGATCAATTGTTTAATTATTGTTGGAGTATGTTTATTTTTGCTATTTAATATCATTAATTTTACACCAAACATCACATAAAAAAACATTATGGTAAAGACAACAATGACAAATTAAATGGTAATGTTGTTGGGTTCTGAAACCTCATTTCTTGAAGGTTACATGCTCAAGAGAGGTTTGTTAGATGGATTTTAGAAAAACAAACCTGACTCTTGAATTTAAGGTGATCGTGGGAAACTAGGCCCAAGACAGTACTTTTTAAAAATATGTTGCAGCTATGTAGAGGAGGAGATAACTAAAAGCAGAAGGTGCAAACCCTCAAAAAAAGAAGTATGAGGTTTCTGCAAAACCAAAGAGCAGATGATAGCAAATTGCAACAACATCATTACAAAACAAAACTCCAGTGATACAGATGTAGGGTAGTGGTAACACATTCACAGGTTTCTCTGAAACTAAGGCATGTTGCTGTTTGTTACATCCTCATCTTCTGCTTCAACCTGTTGCAGAACAGAATACAACATTTAATACCTGAAGAAATATCAAACATAAGCCTATTTATTCAATACTAGCAGCTGAACATTTAAAAGTAGATTATATTGAAAGATAATTAATTTAAAATGGTTTGTTGAATTACTTGTGTATATTTTATAATTAAAATGATAATACATTAACCTCTGAGCATTTTAGTGCACTTATTTAGTGCTGTACAAGTTATGGTTTTAATGGTTAAGGGTTACCTCGTCTGAAGATGTTCTCACATATCTTACTTCCCCTTCAGCCTGTGTTGGAGAAAAAAGAATGTCATTTACAGATGAGCTATTGTTAGATTTAATTAACAAGGCAAGTGTTAAAGTACTTTATTATAGGTTTGTAAGGACATACTTATGTTAGTTCAAATTGTTTTACTGTACCTTCTTAACAACAATAAATATAAAGAATAAAATAAATCAATTACAATGATGTCCTCTCTACCTCTAAATGTAATGTCTTTGCTGTGAAAAGTTATATTAGGAAAATAAATCAAATATTTTACCGTTGTTGTGGCTGATGATTCTACTATTGTCTGCTCTAAAAGAGACATAAAAGCACCTGTTAGTTACACACCTGTATTTCAGAAGGAAGAGTTCACGATATATTTACCTTGTCGTTTGTTTATAAACCAGATTAACAAGTTCACCATCGCAAAAATGATTAGCAAACTCTAACGGATGATGAAGATCTTTAAGTTCCCTGAAACACTGCAGCAGGAATAAATAAATAAAAACACACAATGAAAATGACACATTTGTATAAACTGTCCAAATTTGCATGATAATGAGAAAGTCTCTCACCTTTGCTGTTTACCCTCGACAGTGGAAAGTGGTTGGTCTGCAGAACTAGAGGTATGCTTCACAGGCTCAGGGGTAGCAGGACTTGTTGCTGTAAAAGTGAATGTAATGACATGTGGATATAGCTATTAGAGTAAAATTACATCAATAATTGATAAGATTTAAATGTTATTAAATAAATAAATTGCAAATTACTTTACCCAACAAATGTTATATTTTTAATTAAGAATGACTTATAACACTTACTAGTTGTAGGTTTCTCAGTAACAGTTATGTGCACTGGCATCTGTAAGTCTCCTTTACCGCACCAATACCAGCCACTGCTCTCTGTCCTCAGTCCGCTCAGAGTCACAGTGAGAACACCAGGGCTGCGTGCACTGATCTCGACTCTTGCTCCATCTATTGATCCAGACTGTGTTACACAGGAGCCGCCGAGCCTGCACCACTTCCTTTCTCTAGAGTTTCGATAGTGACACTTGATGTTTATGTTATCTCCTTTAAATCCTGTCATCTCTTGCTGAGCCACGTAAGACTGGGTGAACCTTGATGGAGAACATCGTTCATTGAAACTCGTGAGCAGCGTGGTTAGTACATGCTGCTGATGTTTCAAATATGTTTGACATATATTTACATCTGGTGGATACGTTATTTGAAAAAAATAGGTAACTGTAATATTAAAGTGTTTATATGTCACAAAATATTTGAAAAGGCTTAATTGGGCTCTTACCTCCAGTGACTGACACGTGGAAATACTCTTTGTGTCGAGACGAAAGTCAATATTGAAAGAAAAATAATAATATAACTCACAATTTATCAATTTAATTATAATACCCTGAAAATGGAAAGTGACTGAATTATTATTATTATTATTATTATTATTATTATTATTAGAAATAAGGCAATGAGGCATACAAAATGTTTGTGA